TAACTGACATCTCAAGGAGACACTGAGCTCTCTGACTGTAGGGACAGTGGAGCGCACGCATTTCTAATGTCCTTGTCAGCTCCCAGTGCAGAGGCTGGCCTAGAGGAGGGGCTGAATAAATATTTCTTTGTGATGATGGTACATGCAAGTGGCATCCAAAGCCCTCCATGATTGGACTCAGGCCCTGTCTGCAATCGGACCTCCACTTCCTCTGGCCATACAGCCTCTTTGCCTTTTCCACTTGACCAGACTCTCTCTTCATCCTGCTGGAGTCCCCAAGCCCTACGCTGCCTGAAAAAATCCCTGTGGTAAGGCTCCTCTCAGATGCCTTCACCTTGCAGCCCCTGGCAAGTCATTAGCAGGACCAATTTGTATTTCTGTGCATGGGCTTTGGAGCCTCCGAAACTCTAGGTCCATGACCCTGATGTTGGGAGTTCCTGGGCAGCTCACTGCCCTTCTCCAAGCCTCAGTTCTCCTGTCTGGGAAATGGGTGTAACACTAGGCAGCACCATAGTGAGGATTCCCTGTGTGCAGAGCTCCTGGCACATGGCCAGCCCTCACGACGTAGCCTCAAGGCTCTCCTTTGGTGACTGGATGGGGGCTGGGTGTGTTCCATCCCTGGACAGGGAGGTGGATCCCCCCCTCAAGGGAAGGGGCATGTGAGGTGAAAGCAGCATCCCCTGTGAGCCCAAGTTTGGCTCCAGAACCAGCTGCAGGAGAGGGCATGTGAGCAAACTAGTTTATTGAGTACCTACTACGTGCCAAGCATACTGCCTTCCTTTTCTCAACCAGCCATATTTTATGAAGAAAAGCCATCTTTTATGAAGAGGCAAGGATGACTTGCCTAACGGAGCCTTCTATTGACTCACACCTGAGCCCTCCAGGTGTGGTTAACACCCCTGGCCCCATCTGAGCTGCCCCAGGGGGCATCTTTACCTGGTGTCACCTGGATGCCACCACTGAGAGGGATGCACCTTGTCCTGTGCCCGCCCAGCCCTGGCTCAGCCCTGGAACAAGAACCCTGGGTCATTCCCCATCTGTCACTGCCTCAGGCACCTGCTTGCTGGGTCTCAGCTTCTCTGCCAGGTACAGGGGACAGAGCTGCTGGCCTCCAGGGTCCACATGGAGCATTGCAATTCACAGAGAATGATCACACTCACCCCACCAAGGGAGGCGCTGCCACAGTTGTTTCACAGATGAAGAAAGACAGACTCACAGAAGGGACAAGGGAAGAGGTGAGCTTCAACCCACACGAAACCTCCTTTCCCACCCCCAGTCCAGACAGCACACCACCCTGCTGTAAAATGGGAGGGAGAGGTGGTACAGTCTTTATAAAACACCTACTGTATGCTTCTAGACACCTTCCCTCTGGGGCTGTAGTGAATCCTCCCAACTGCCAAAGGGCTAGGTACTGTTCCCATTTCCCAGATGTGGAACCACAGACTGGAGAATGCATGAGGGATGCCCAAGGCCACACACCTAAGGCAGGAGAGGGCTCAGGAATTGCACCCAGGGCTATCTGAATTCCAGAGCCGGATGCCCTGAATTCCCTCTGCCCCTGGATGCCTCAGGTCTAAAAGGATTTGAAATCACCATGTGAAGGTAGGGGACTCATGCCTCCACTCAAGCACTCAAGCCCCCTCCCCAGCAGGCCTGAACATCAGGAAAGTCTATCACAAGCAGTCTTCTCCTCATTGCCCAAAAGAAGCTCCATATCGGGGTGGAGGGGTGCAGACCAGAGCTCCCTCACACTTCCTGACAGTCCCATTGCTAGGACACCCCAGCATGTTTCAAGAGAAATGTTTCCATCTGTTTTTGATTCATTTACACTTAATTAATCAACATGCTGTTTTGTAAGAGACACTTGAGATCCAAGAACCTTTCTCAAGTTGTTCTTTCATTCTTTCTTGTCTCAGAAACAGAAGAATTGGAGGAAAAAAAAAGAAACAGAAAAATTGGGTTTCATCAAAAAACAATGACGCCAGAGCTTGAGGAAGCATGGGTCTGCGGGTGCCAGGCCCTGGGGGCAGCAGCTCAGGCTGGGCAGCTGCTGGGCCTTGCAGAACAGGCCGAAGACTGAAGCTCAGGACTCAGGCGCGCAGGGGAGGCAGGGGAAGTCAGGGACGGGGCATCCATCCCCCCTGGCAGCTGCTCAAGGGCAGGCCCCAGGTCTGGACACCTCGGCATCTCCAAGATCCCCAGCATAGAGCCTGGTGCAGAGGCTGCCCTGTAGCAACTGTTGAATGAACAAGTGAAGGGATAGATGCATGGAACACAGCCAGGGCCTAGGTGCCTTCAGGACACATTCTCCTCCTAGAGTTAGAGCAAAATGTCAAAGCTGGTAAGACCCTCAGGGATGTCCTGTAAAGTTTTCTAAGCAGTTGTCTTAAGAAAAATGGCCTCTGCTGCATAATTAGTTTGGGAAAGGTCCTGCTATCTAGCTCTACCGCTTCACCATTAATGCTCTGATAAGCCCTGCAGTCAAGAATTATGCTAAATCCAGCATTTCCCAAACCAGGACTCCTGTGACCAATTGGCAGAATATGCTACAGGAAGGATTTTCCTACCCCTCCACCCCCACCCCAGTGCCAACAGGGAAACTGAGGATGTTGGCAGGAGCAAGGGAGTCCACACACTCGAAGTCACACAGTACAAAGGAGTCTGGGGTGGGACTGAAATGCAAGGCTTTCTCCAATGCACCTGACTGATAAGTGGAGCTACAAGCCTCTCTCTGGAGATGCTGGATAGGGCATGTTTGTGTCCCATACACAAGACACCAACTATAGCAGGAGGGGTCCTGAGAGCCTCCTTGCTAAACTTGGGCAGAATCAGGAGCAGCCATGCCCAAGCTCCTCACAGAGCAACTGGGGATGTGGAAGTTTTCTTTATCTTTAATCTGTGTGCGTGTGCGTGTGTGTGTATCTTTTTAAAACTGAGAAGCAGGGATCCCTGGGTGGCGCAGCAGTTTGGCGCCTGCCTTTGGCCCAGGGCGCGATCCTGGAGACCCGGGATCGAATCCCACATCGGGCTCCCGGTGCATGGAGCCTGCTTCTCCCTCTGCCTGTGTCTCTGCCTCTCTCTCTCTCTCACTGTGTGCCTATCATAAATAAATAAAATTAAAAAAAATAAAACTGTGAAGCATCTTAAAGATCTCCCCAACTGGATCCTCTTCAGATGGGGAAGCGGAGGCTCTGAGAAGGGAAGACCAACACAGCTCAGGAGCCATCATGACCAGAGTGGGATTCCAGCCTGCGTTGCTACTTACCCGCTGTGCAACCTTGTTCAAATCAGTTTCCCTCTCTGTATCCTCATCCAGATCATAAGCATCTCCCCAGTCCCCAACCCCACTAGGCTGCTGTGAGTAGCCAGGGACATCATGGCCAGGAAATGATGACTGGTACCCACAAATGCCCACTAGGAACCTGTATACGCGGCTATTTACTTAGTATACACACCAGTGTACCTTGTGAGTTGGATACTTCAGATTATTATTCCTTTCTTAAAAAAGGAGTCAATGAGAAAGTTTTTATTTTTATTTCTTTGGTACATTTTAAAACTGAGAAAAATCTTAGAGATTTTCTAAAAGACCCTCAGATGTAAACCCAGGCTCAGAAAGGCAAAGTGACCTCCTCGAAGCCACTCAGCTAGTAACTGGGGGAAGCTGAGATCTGAACTCAGGGAGGCCAATTCCAGAGCCCATGGACTCAACCACTATACAAGGGCCATTCGCGGAGGAGCATCCCTGTGAAGTTGTAAACTTCCCCTAGCTCACCTGAAGCCCACTGCTTCTCGGGCCCCTGGGTCCCTCCATCTAGACACACCAGGGATTGGAGCCCTTTGGGCCAGTCTCTCAGCCCCAGCCCATTCCACCACCCCATTCTCCCATAGCCCCTCTCTGCTTCCTGCTTTACTCCAGGAGTGCGGGTGTCCCCGCAGGGCTTTTCACTCAAATGGACTAGAAGCCCCTAGAGGTCAAACTCTCTCATTCCCTTGTAGCCTTGTTCAGACCTAACACCACAATTGGAAAGAAAGAAGACACTGGGTCTTCCACTCATCTGCTGGACAACTTAGCAAAGTTACTTAACCCGTGTGAGCCTTGGCACCCGGCTTTGTAAAATGGAATGAGCGGTGGGGATTCCCTTAATAAGGGAAAACTTTGGCACGGTGGCTGGTATTCCAAGGCTGGTTCTCAGACTGGTACCAGCTTGGGAGACTTGCCCGCCTGCTTGCCCTCCGTAGCCCCATGGGCTCTGCCAACCCCGACTCTGCAGCAACAGCCTCAACCCCACCTCCTGGGGACCTTCCCTCACAGTGAGCGGCTGTGACATAGGACCCCGAGGGTACAAGGGGCCCCTCTGTGCCCCATGTATATTCATTGTCTGAACCTTGGTTTACCTTCCCAGTATTCCCAGGTGGTCAAGATGGAAAAACTGGGGAGCTCTGGGGTTTCTTCCAGGTCATCTCAGAATAAATGGACTTGAATTCAGGTCTCAGGGCTCCCTGAGTTCCCAAAGCTCATGTCCTTGCCGGAGGAGATAGGGGGCCACCAAGGAATACTGCCTTCCTGGAAGGTGACAGGGTGAGTCAGGGTCAATGATGAGGCTGAGACTGGGGCATCTGCACTCCCAGCCCAGGGCTGTACTTGGCATGGCTTCTAAGTCACTAGTTCTGTCCCCTAGTCCTAGTGTCCTCCAGCCTGGCACCTGGGGCTTCCTGTCTCTGCACAGAGCCACCCTCCTTCTTCTTCTCGGCAATGTTGCTACGATACGGAGCGAATCCGTGAGAGAGCCCTACCAGCCCCTTCCTTCCTTGGGGAGCCGCCTTGGCCAGCTTGCTCGACAGGTGCCCCGGGGCCTCAGTCTCCCCGTCTGTAAAGTGGGTCTGACGGGTATCCGGAGGAGTGGGCGGCCGGGGGCGCGGGGCGCCAGGCAGCTGTCCCAAGGGCAGCCCTGCCCGCCCCGCTGTGCGCGCCCTGCCCCCCGGCCCGCTGCCCCGTGTACCTTGCTTCTTCCTTCGGTTCAGGGGAAGCGTGTCCACCGCGTGCGCGACGAGCAGCAGCAGGCAGAGTGGCGCCCGCATCTGGGCAGCCTGGTCGGGGCGGGCGCTCGGGGGCTCCCCCGGAGGCCCGATGGCTGCTCCGGGCGCCGCGGGCGCATCCGCGGGGCGCCTGCTGGTCCCGCCGCCAGGGACGCGCCGTCCGCCCGGACCGGCCGCCAGGTCGAGTGAGGGCGTCGGCGGAGCCGGGACACTGCCCCGGCGGGGAGGAGCCGGCGCGCGGGGCGGCGCGTTCTGCGGCTCCCGCGGCGCGCGCGGTGGGGGGCGGGGGTCGCCCGGCAGGGGTCCCGAGGTCGCTGGGCCCCGCGGGCCGCGGTCTGGCGTCGGTCCGCCCCCTGCACCGCCCGCCGCGCGGACCCGCCGCCGCCGCCGCCGCCCCCAGGCGCAGGTACAGACGCGCGGCCGCCCGGCGGCCCCATCCCTGCGCTCGGGGCAGTCCCGACCCCCCTCGCCGCCCGCCCCTCGGGGCCACTCCTGCGCTTCCTCGTGTTCCCGCCTGCGTCTCGCGGCCCGGCTCTGCGGCCTGACCGCCTGGCGCGCCCTCTCCGCTCGGCCTCGCCCTTTCAAGACGCTCGTGCGTCCCTTCTGGCCACTGACCCTGCAGGTTTCCTGCGCGGCCTGCGGGGAGCCCCTGATCTTTGACTCCGAGGGACCGGCACCTCATAAATTCACTTGTGAAGGGGCTGGGGACCTGGACTGTGTTTCCTCCAACCTTATCTACTGGACTGGGAGCAGCTGGGCCGTTTTAACCCTTTCGGAACCAGATCCCGCTGACTACCCGGCAGAGAGCTCACTCCTTCCTCCCTGTCGCGTACCCACCGCAAACAGGACCAGTCATAAGCCCTGTAGCTACCACTTTTGAGGCCTGTGCTTGGGGTTGTGCTAAGCACTTTACACAGAATGTCATCTTCAAGGGAGGAAAGAAGCTCAGAGAGGCCGCGATGTGCCCACCGCCACACACAGCAGGCCAGCGCCCTGTCTGCCTCCAGCGCCTGCCCTCAGCCACTGCTCCAGCCAGACACAGAGGAGCTTACCTTGGACAGCCTCTGGCTGAGCACTTGGCCTTTCTTTATCCTGTGTGTGTGGCTTGTCTCCTTCAGTCCCTTCTTTCCATCCTCTGAGTCCCCCATACAATGAGGGCATTTGAAGGCATGTGGAGGAGGAGACACACAGGGAGGCAGCTCTGACTGGGCCATTCTTCTGTGGGGCTCCATGAACACCAGCAGACAACATCCTGCCGTCTTGATCAAATGTTGGAGCGGATCCACCCAAATGGCTCCATTTTACAGATGGGGTCACTGAGGCTTCGGGATTATGAGTGCTTAGCTCAGCCAGCCCAGCAAGTCCAGGGCAGAGGTGGGATGGGAGTCCAGGAGCTCCAGCATGGATCTCTCTCTCTCTCTCTGGGCCTATACAGGCCTTTTGTTCTGATTCCTTTGATCTTAATCTTCCCCATCACTCCACCACTCACACCTTTGATCCCAGAGATCTCAACTCCTTGCAGTATTTGACAGACTCCTCCAGGCCTCCCACACCTCTGAGCCTTTCATGTGTGGCCTCTCTGTGAATGTCAGCCTACATCCCATCCCCTTTCTTTGCTGACTCATTCAGGACCCCACCCTGGATATGCCCCTCATCCAGGAAGCCTTTCTGGATTCTCAGGCCAGGTTCAGTGCCTTCTCTGGGCTCCCACAATCTCTTTATCACAGCTTGGATCACACTAAGTGGTAACTATTGATGTTTCTGTCCCTCTCTCTAAATTGTCAATTCTTTGAGGCTAGAGGTGAGGTCTTACCTGAGTCCCTAGAGCACTGGCACCCACTGGACAGAGATCAGGAGCTCAGCATGTTTGTAGGATGAATGAGTGAATGAGTTCTCTGGATGCAGGAGTCTCCTGGCTTATACATGGAATTCAGGTACTTGGAGAAATGAGGTGACCCCAGAATATCAAACCTTAAGAAGGTGGGAAGTGAAGTCAGTCACTATCCAACCACCCCCAGGGCTGAAGTGTTCAGAATCTGGAGCCGGACAGCCCCTGGGGTGAGCAGGGGCTGGGAAACAACAATGCGCAGTGGGGACCGCGCAGAGCTCTTGGCTACTGGACCGCCACACAGCTCTGCGGGCTGTAGCCTCTCGCCCCTTCTCTTCTCACTCCCTCTGCTCTGGCTACTTAGCCTTCTCCCCCTCTGTAGGGCTTTTTTGCTGTTCCCACCATCTGGAAAATCCTTCCTGAGATATCTTCAGGGTCTGTCTCTGCTCAAGGTTACCTCCTCCGAGAGACCTCCTGACCACTCCAGATAAAACAGAACACCAATTTCCTTTATCCCCTTATCTTGCTTTATTCTCCATCCTACCAAGTACACCAAGTACCAAGTTCTGCTCATATTTGTAATTTGCTTGTTTATAAGTTCTATGAGGGCAGGATCTTCTATTTTTACTCATGTGCCTAACACATAAAATGCTTAATAAACACCTGTAGCATGAATGAGTGCTCACTCATCTGCTAGTACACTGTAGGACCTCGAGCACCTCCTGCTAGCAGGGCCTCAGTTTCCCCATCTGTTCACTGGAACAGATGGGAGTCTGTGTTTTCTTAGAGCCTTACAATCCTTTCAGAACCTGCTATTTCTAGGATTCTGGGAGCCAGAACTCAGGCCTCTCCCTGGCTCTGAGATGCACAGAGGGTCTTGGGGTTTCTGCAGCTATAGGGAGCTGTCTGGGAATCCTAGCCTGCCATCTGGTCACCCTCCCCCAACACAAGCACCCAGGATGGACATTGAGGCCAGTGGTGCTGATGGCATCCCAGGAGGTGTGCACACCAGGGGCATCCGTTAAGGAACCACAGGACACTGTCACAATAGATAATGGTATCATGGTATCAATGGTACAATGGTTATTGATACATGGTATCAATGGTATCATGGTTACAATGCATTATAGTCATATTGGATGTTCCAAGTCAGCAAATCCTTCTCCTCCATGAACTCTCAGGTTGTGCTCTGCTTTCTCAGTACACAGCTCAAAGCTCACTGTAGAAGGGCCAAGGCCTGGAAGATCATCTATGGCAGGTACCAATGTCCTGGCCAGAATTCAGTCACATAGCCACACCTACCTGCAACGGTAGCTGGGGAATATAGTGTAGCCATGTGCTCAGGAGGAAAACCAAAAGAGTTTGGTGAACATCGGGCCATTCCATTGCACAGGACCACTCTCATTCCTGCCATAATGATGTAGTAGTTCTTGCCTGTGTTGGCTCTGACCTCTACAAGCTCTTTTTCCTAAGCAGCCAGAGGACCTGGATTTTCTTCCACGTGAAGTCCACAATTTTCCTTGGCCCTGCAGGGGCTACAGGATAGCCCCTGCTAGAGTGACCAGTTGTCCCAGTTTGTCAGGGATTGAAGAGTTTTCTGGGATGCAATTTTACCTCATGGACAGCTTTGTTTAACTACAACCACATCAAGATACTTAACTAGACCTGCACAAAACTCCCTCATGATCCCTTTATGACTCCACCCTCTCCCTTCCCTACCCTTAACCCCTAACAACCACTAATATGTTTCCCATTTCTACACTTATGTTGTTACACAGATAATATATAATAGAATCATGTAGATGTGTCCTTTTGAGATTGGCTTTTTTTATTTGGCATAATTTCTTGAGATTTGTCCAAGTTGTTGCATGATTAACAGTTGTATTTTATGGGCACCTGGGTGGTTCAGTCAGTTAAGCATCTGCCTTCGGCTCAGGTCATGATCTCAGGGTCTTGGCATCGAGCCCTGCATCATGCTTCCTGTTCAATGCAGAGCTTGCTTCTCCCTCTGCCTGCCACTCCCCCTGCTTGTGTTTCTCTCTCTCCCTCTCTCTCTCTCTCTATTAAATAAATAAATAAATAAATAAATAAATAAATAAATAAAATATTTTAAAAATGAACAGTTGCGTTTTCCTGCTGAGTAGTACTCCATGGTACGAATGTACTAGAGTTTCTTTAGCCATTCATTCATTGAAAGACAGATAATTTCCAGTTTGGGGTTATTAAGTACAAAGCTACTATGGATATTTGTGTACGAGTTTTTGTATATCCTTCTTAGCAAAATGTCTGTGCATGTCTTTTGCACATTTTTGATTGGAATTTTTTAGTTTTACTGTTGTATTTTAAGAGTTCCTTATTCCACACAGAATTCCTTTGTTGGATATGTAATTTGCTAGTATTTTCTCCTAGTCTGTAATTTGTCCCTTTGTTCTCTTTCCAGTGTCTTTCACAGAACAAAGGTACTTAATTTTGATAAGGTTCCTTTTGACAATTTTTCCTTTTATGGATCATGCTTTTGGTGTCAAGTCTAAGAATTTTTGCCTAGTCTCAAGTCTCAAAGGTTTTCTTATATTTTTTTTCTAGAAGTTATATCATTTTATGTTTAAGTTCATGATCCATTTTGGATTAATTTCTGCATAAAGAATGAGGTTTACATCAAGGTTCAATTTTTTGCCTGTGGATGTTCAAACACTCCAGTATTATTTGTTGAAAAGGCCTGCCTACCTTCACTGAATTGCTTTTGCTCCTTTGTCGAAAATTAATTGGGCATATTTGTGTGAATCTGTTTCTGGATTATCTATTCTGTTCTGCAGACCATGCATCCTTTTGTCTGCCAGTACCTCACTGTCCTGATTACTGAAATTTTGAAATTGGGTAGTCTGATCTCATCCACCTTATTCTTTCTTAAAATTGTTTTAGTTCTTCTAGTTCTTTTGCCATTTAATATAAATTTTAAAATAATTTTGTATATACCTACAAAAAATCTTGCTAGGAATTTGACCAGAATTGCATTAAACATGTATATAAATTTGGGGAGAATTAACATTTTGACTATATTGAGTCTTCCAATTCATGAACATGATATATCTCTCCATTTATTTAGGTCCTCTTTGATTTTTTAAAGAATCAGTGTTTTGCCATTTTCAAGTCCTAAGAGTTTTGACTTATACCTAAGAATTTTTCTTTCCTTTTTAAAAAGTACTATAAATTGTATTTCAATTTTGTTGCCCCACATGTTCATCCCTAGTATATAGAAATACAACTGATTTAAATTCAATTTGCCAACATATAGTATAACACTCAGTGCTCATCTCAAGTGCCCTCCTTAGTGCCCGT